TGTGAGCCATTTCGGTACGAAACAATAAAAAACTTTTTTTATACAAAAAATTACAATCAATCGATAAATATTCTAAAGCATTTATTCCAAAAAGATTAAGTAATAGGTGGGATCCTGCATATAATATAATTTTATGTCATAAAGTTTACAAATTTTAGATGGACCACGGTGAGAATGTGAGTGGTTAATTTAAAGGTGGTCTGATAAAGATATCGAAGCTTACTCAACACAGCATGAAGCAGTTTCTAATACACAATCTTACTAGTGGTGTTTCGGTCGCCAGCGCTCTCATAGGGGTGCTGGTTTCAAAAACCACTACTTCAAATTATTCAACAATACTCAATGCAGCATGAAGCAGCTACTACTGCTGTATCTTACTGGTAGTGTTCTTCGCTTCTTACTATCAACTCTAAAACTAGTTTGATGTATTATTTATTCAATATTAACCTTAATTATTTACAATTCTCACTTTTTTCATTTTTTAAATGAATCAATCCGTTCCTGCACCCCTTGCTGATAGAAAACAATATATTGATTTCATTCATTATCTTCAATATGGAGTTCAAGCAGAGATGCGTGCTAACTGCAATTATCGGAAAGATTCGCATTTGAATTCAGATGGAGTAACAATTATTAGACATTACTGTAGATGGGGAAGTTGTAGTGCTAACTTTACCTTTGAAATGAAATCTAATCAATACAGATTTGTAAATGGACATCATTTTCATAATCACGTTGGTGAACCACCGTCTTTTAAATATATACATCTATAAATATATACATATATAAGTATTTACATATATAAATATACATATATAAATATACATATATAAATATACATATATAAATATACATATATAAATATACATATATAAATATACATATATAAATATACATATATAAATACATATATAAATATACATATATAAATATACATATATAAATATACATATATAAATATACATATATAAATATACATATATAAATATACATATATAAATATACATATATAAATATACATATATAAATATACATATATAAATATACATATATAAATATACATATATAAATATACATATATAAATATACATATATAAATATACATATATAAATATACATATATAAATATACATATATAAATATACATATATAAATATACATATATAAATATACATATATAATATACATTATAAATATACATATATAAATATACATATATAAATATACATATATAAATATACATATATAAATATACATATATAAATATACATATATAAATATACATATATAAATATACATATATAAATATACATATATAAATATACATATATAAATATACATATATAAATATACATATATAAATATACATATATAAATATACATATATAAATATACATATATAAATATACATATATAAATATACATATATAAATATACATATATAAATATACATATATAAATATACATATATAAATATACATATATAAATATACATATATAAATATACATATATAAATATACATATATAAATATACATATATAAATATACATATATAAATATACATATATAAATATACATATATAAATATACATATATAAATATACATATATAAATATACATATATAAATATACATATATAAATATACATATATAAATATACATATATAAATATACATATATAAATATACATATATAAATATACATATATAAATATATAAATATACATATCTCATACCGAAATGGCTCACAAAAAAGTGACATTTTTGGCGCCAATAATTTGATTTTTCTGATTCTTTCTATTTAGATATATTTATTTAATATTCATATTCCTTTATATTGCCTCATATTATTTCCCATTTTTAATCATATTATACAAATCTTTAATAATTTTTAATGTTTTGAGCTTCAAAATCTTGTTCTAACTATTTTCATTCATATATCCTAGAAAAAATTAAAAGTTTTTTAGAAATAAAAATGTTTGTATGTAAAGTATTGAAAATATTCTAGATGAGAAGACATTCTCCAGAAGAGATTGATATTGATTGGCTTTGTGAAGCCATCACAAAATCAAATAATGGAGTTAAGTTAACTGATATTTGCGCGAAAGCTAAAATAAATCATGAAGGCAGAGTTATATATAATCATACTATCTTAAAGTATTCTAGAAATTTCCAAAATTAACCGAAATATAACTGGACAGAATTACTATTTTCGAGATAAAATTCATATGGAAATACTAATTCATAACGCTTTATGTTATATAAAATTTAATTTATAAAAAATTCAAAATAAATCAAATTTAACACAATGAATATAACTGCAATCGAGGTTTTTGACGATTGATTCTTACGAGAAGTTTTCCAAACTTTGAGTTAATGTTCAAGACATTAACTCAAAGTTTGGAAGTCTAATAAGGGGAATTGTAGGCTATGAGGTACTGATTATATATCAGTGCCTCATAGCCTGCAATTCCATTAGAAATCGGAGAAACTTTGTCCGCATAACTGATGATGCGGACAAAGTTTCTCCCATTTCTACTTAGAATGAAAGGGCAAGAGGTATATAGGTACACTATATATCTCTTGCCCTTTCCTTCTTACCTAAAGACTTCCAATCTTATTTTTTTTCCAATTTTTCCCCTAAATTTAAATCTTATATAATATAAATAAAATGCATAATATCAATCACAAAAATTAATGTTTATTTTTTTAATTAAAATTGCCGCGCAATTTAAGGTTTTCTGTCACTTTTTGTGAGCCATTTCGGTACGAAACAATATATAAATATAGATATATAAATATATAAATATACATATATAAATATACATATATAAATATATAAATATACATATATAAATATATAAATATATAAATATACATATATAAATATATAAATATATAAATATATAAATATATAAATATACATATATAAATATATAAATATACATATATAAATATATTTATATATATAAATATATAAATAACAAAATACAATCAAAAATAGTGTTTGGAAATTTAAGGTTAAGTGCCACTTTTCTAGTGTCACTTTTTCGTAAATTCTACCACACTCCACGTTGATATCCACTTTCTTGGCAAAAAGAGAAGTCAGATTCTTTATGCTGTGATTGATGACTGCACAAGGCTCATCATAGAATGGCAGCATCTTTCGTCAAAACATGCTAGCCAAACAGTGAAAGTAATTAAGAGAGCAATAGCCCGTTATGGACCACCACATACAATTTGGTCCGATAATGGCGGCGAGAATAAAGGCGAGTTCGTAAAGGCTATGAGGGTTCGGGGGATCAATAATGTATATATTGTCCCCCATTGCCCATACCAAAATGGGAAAATCGAGCGCTTGTGGCCTAACATAGAGAGCAGAGAGTTGTCATGGGCAAAGATTCAACAATGGGTTGAGTACTATAATGCTAAACCTCATCTAGCATTACCAACTCATTATGTGAATGGAAAACAAATTCACTATAGCCCATCTGAAATGTGCAAGAAACTTCCAATTTGGAAGAGGGGAATGCCGGCAAAATGGATTGTGGATGGAGTCTCTCAAGATTTTCTTCCAGGTTCACTTATCTCGTAAACGAAAAAGAGGATTTGACGCAGTCAAATCCTCTCTCTCAAAAAGTGGACTTTACATGGCAAATTTCAAATGCATGTAAGGTCCACTTTGATCAGTTTCAGGATGGAATTGGAGGCCATGAGGTACTGATATTGCATCAGTATCTCATAGCCTCCAATCCCTTCAAAAAATGGGAGAAACTTTGGTCGAATAATTTAACATTCGGCCAAAGTTTCTCCCATAATTAATGAGAATTAAAGGGTAAGAGGCATATAGGGTCACTATATACCTCTTACCCTTTCATTTTCATTTGGAGGTCAACAAACCCGGAGTTAATTGCAAACAATTAACTCCAAATTTGTTTATGTTAAGGAAGGAATTGGAGGGTAAGAGGTACATAGTATGAATATGTACCTCTTACCCTGCAATTCCTTCTAGAAAGTTCCAAAACTTTGGGTTAATTGCAAACTATTAACCCAAAGTTTTGGAACTTTCAAGTGGAGATGGAAGGCTTTGGGGTATATATTAATATAATATACTCAAAGCCTTCCATCTCCACTACAAATGGGAGAAACTTTGTCCGAATAGTTTTAACATTCGGACAAAGTTTCTCCCCATCTTTCAATGTAATTGCTACCTGTGAGGTACTGACTCGAAGTCAGTGCTTCACAGGTAGCAATATCCAAAAATTTAAAAACATTTTATCAGTTCGTTAGAGAACTAGAGCCTCCTAGGTACTGAACCAGAATCAGTGCCTAGGGGACTCTAGTTATCTATATAAATCTGAGAAACTTTGAGGAAATTGTTCGACATTTCCTCAAAGTTTCTCAGCAATTTAGCGAGGAATGTTCGTTATCGTGTAGATATTTATAATATATACATGATAACAAACATTCCCCGCTAAAAGATGTAAAATCTTATAAGAAATAATTGCAAAAGAATAACAAATTGCAACAAATTTTATATGAAACTGAACCTTATGAGGTAGTGATTCAAGATCACCGCCTCATAAGATTCAGTTTCAATCTCAAGTATCTCAAAAGTAAGGCTCTATTTTTTGCCATGTAAAGCGTCACTTTTTCTGTCAAACCATTTTTATCGTTTTCGTTTACAACACTTATGGCCAATGAGATGCCAGAGCTCCAAGGAATCGAAGAAGATGAATGGGAAAAAGAAGGCGAGGAAGTTGAAGAAGAAGAAAATAAGGCGAATCCGGTTGAAATAGAAGAAGATAGTAATGAAGAAGAAGAATCCGAAGTAAATTATGAAGAAGAATATCAAGAAGATTATGAAGACCCTTATGAAGAAGATTATGATGATTCATTTTAATATTACGAATAAAATGACACTTTTTCTATTTTTGACACGTAAAGTTGTCACTTTTCTGTCAAACTGTTTTTATCGTTTTCGTATATAACAATTTCAAATGGAATTAGAAGAAGAAACTATCTTTACTGTTATGGATCTTTGTAAATTTGGAGTTAAACAAGAAATTCAAGCACAGTATGGATATGGTGAACGTGTCAGGAAAGAAAGATCTCAGATTTCATTCCACTGCAAATATCCAAAATGTCCTGCACATTTTAATGTTGCAATCTTGGATCAAAATAAATACAAACTAATCAAAATAGTTGAAGAACATGATCATTCCGCCCCAAATGACAAAAGTCAATATTCGTCTGTCTTTTATCGCAAATATTTAGAACATTACTTCCAAACAGATGACAATCAAAGAGCGATAGCACAGCTAAATGCATTCAAAGATCTTGAAATTCCTCTTACAGGTCTGTCCATTCCAGAGATGTACGCTCAAAAACCACGTGCAATCAAACAATTTGCAGAGAGAATACATGCTCTTCAAACTAGATATTCTCCTGACGATGTTGTGTCATTGCAAATCTTTGTTCAGACAGTACAAGAAGAATCTCCAGATGATCTCATTGCATTTGAAGTCTCAGACAATAATATGTGTTTCTATTACGCGCCTTTTGAAGGCAAAGCTTATGCGCATAGTATCAAGACATTTCATATAGACAGCACCTATAAATTGTTGCGATCAAACATTCCATTGTATGCATTTACTGGCAAAATCAAAGATTTTCACATTTTCCCTTTTTTATATTTCTTTTGTCAACCAGACACTTATCAAAACATTCAAGTTTGCGTGTGCGCCTATCTCAGATGGGTAACAATTGAGCCAGAATACATTAGCATGGACTGTGCTCCACAGATAGCTCAAGCAATAGAAGAAAGCATTCCACAAGCTCAAATACTTTGGTGCGGAGTACATGTTCTTCGTGCAATTCTTCGCAAATCAAATAAGTTTTCTTCTCAAGAAAAATTTGAACAATTCTATAATTTGATGAAGGATTTAGTCTTCAAATTAGATGCAGAACATGAGGAAGAAGCAAATGCTGCCTATGATCAAGTTCTGGAGTTGCTCGACACAGATCCAACAGCATCTCAATACTTTAACAGACAATGGCGTTACAACATATCAAGATGGATTGCTCGTGACAGGCGTGAAGGCGACGCAACTAACAATATTGCCGAAGCTCATTTTAGAACACTCAAACATGACTATTTTCCTGATCGAAAAAATCTCAGAATTGATGATGTTATTATAGAAATTTATACAAAAGTGATACCATCTTTCGTTATCAAACTCAAAATTGATCAAAATCCAGCAGATGACCGTGTTATTAGGATCATGGAAAAAGCAACTAACGCAGAAATTGATGTAAAAAGACAAAGAAAAATCGAGAGTATTTCAATGCTCAATAGATTGCTCAATGCTGTTAGTGATGACTCAATAGATCCCACTAAAATATATCCTACCTTGAAAGTATTATTACAAAGAACTCATTTTATTTAATTTTGATTTTAATTTTAGATTAATTATTAAATTTTAATTCTTTATTTTTTAGGATTGTTAGCTTTGTAAGATTGCTTTCTCACAAGAGAAAACAAGTATAAGGTTTAAGCTGTATGTATTAAAGTTATAAATATTTGATTTTAAAAAAAATCAAGATTTTAAACTTTAAAGGTATTAATTATGATTATCTTTCTTTAGCTTTGCATGCTGTATGCTACTTTTGGAAACTGCTCTATTGTATTAGAATGTTTTTAAATTTTGCACCTAAAAATGCGTAATATTAAAAATTAAGGTATTAATTATGATTATCTTTCTTTAGCTTTACATGCTGTATGCTACTTTTGTCTTTGAGACATTCCATGATTTAAGTTAAGAAGCTTTAAAAAAATGCAAAAAAATGTAATAAAATAAAAAAATTCTTAGTATCGATAATCTGAAATATGTTCTTTTCTTAAGCCGCGAGCGAAGCGAGTGGCTTAGTTTCGTAATTTCATACAATTATTTTTCGAATTTGTTCTTTTTGTCAACCGCGAGCGAAGCGAGTGGCTTTTTATTTTTTTTTAATTTTTTTTCTTTCTTACTTTTTTTCCCTTACTTACAAATTTGATAGTAACTTACCAAATCTCTCTATCATATAATAATAAATTAATCCATTTTTTGTTTCAAATCTGACACTTTACATTTCTGACATGCAAACCTGTTACTTTTCACTTCACCTCACTGGGCAAGTTTGTGCCCCCTCTTTCTTTTTTTTTTCTCTCTCTGTTTCTTTTCTCTTTCCTCTTTTTACTCCTCTTTCTCTTTTCATCATTAAACGTAGAAAGATATATTAATATTATTTTAAAATTAAAAAAAATAAAGAAAGTATAATAAGTAATTATTTAGTTATCGATATATATATGTAAAGTGATAATCTAAGGAGGAGTTTGAGGAGTAGTTTGAGGAGTAGTCTGAGGAGTAGTTTGAGGAGTAGTCTGAGGAGTAGTCTGAGGAGTCTGAGGATTAGACTGAGGAGTTTGAGGACTAGTCTGAGGATAATCTGAGGAGTTTGAGGATAATCTGAGCATAATCTGAGGAGGAGTCTGAGGATTAGACCGAGGAGTAGTTTGAGGATAATCTGAGGAGTAGTTTGAGGATAATCTGAGGAGTAGTTTCAGGAGTAGTCTGAGGACTAGTCTCAGGACTAGTCTGATGAGGAGGACTCTAAGGAGTAGTCTGAAGAGTAGTCTCAGGAGGAAGATCTGAGGAGGAGTCTTATGAGGAAGATCTGAGGAGTAATCTGATGTGGAGGGGTCTAAGGAGTAGTCTGAGGATGATGAGTAATCTGATAAGGAGTAGTCTGAGGATGATCTGAGGATAACCTGAGGACTAGTCTAGGAGTGGTCTAATAAAAATGTAAAATATTTTCAAAGAAAAAATTCTATGAATTTTATATTTTAATTCTTAGCATTATACTGAATAAAATAAATATAAATATCAAAATTTGAAATTGAACACGCCAAAAAATTGATAATCCACATTCAATATTTTGTAAGTGGCGTACTTTTTGAATACTCGCCATACGCCTTGGAGTTCTCAATTTTGAATTCGCCTTTATTTGGGCGACCTCAGAAAAATACGCCATTAAGAAAATATTGTATGAGATTTTAAATTTGAACACGCTCTTTCTTAAGGAATTAAATTTATTAAGATATATTTATATATAATAAACGATTACTTAAAAAAAGTATTTGATCGCTTATGTAAGTTTCAAAAAAATCACGAAAATAAAAAAATCAAGATTAAAATTTTATTTTTAATTTTTGAATTTCTCAAATGGCGAAATTTTTGGGCGAACAAAAAAAATGTACGCCCGGTCAAATGGCGTGTTTAACGCATCCCTACGCTCGATTTTCCCATTTTGGTATGGGCAATGGGGGACAATATATACATTATTGATCCCCCGAACCCTCATAGCCTTTACGAACTCGCCTTTATTCTCGCCGCCATTATCGGACCAAATTGTATGTGGTGGTCCATAACGGGCTATTGCTCTCTTAATTACTTTCACTGTTTGGCTAGCATGTTTTGACGAAAGATGCTGCCATTCTATGATGAGCCTTGTGCAGTCATCAATCACAGCATAAAGAATCTGACTTCTCTTTTTGCCAAGAAAGTGGATATCAACGTGCCATATTTGGTTAGGAAAGGCAGCTAAGTATCTTGTCTTTCCTTTTGGCCGATAGGGTCCCCTTGGACGTGCCAAGCCTAGCTCTCTAAAAGCTCTTTCTACCATATGTCTTGAGGGGGATGTGGAAGAGGGTTTGTAAGATATTTAATGTTCCTCAGCTCAGATGGAAATGATAATGGAGACTCTTCAATCATAAGTCCGGAAGGAATTGTGGAAGAAATTTGATTCAGGGGCTTAAAACGTTCAATAGCGGAGAACCATGCTTGGGTAGGCGTGGGCTGTGGAACAATACCCGTCTTCATGTCCAAAAATGCCTCAAAATGAGATTTGGCATATTCGATATCTTTATTTATTTGGTTATAGGCGGAGATTATTCCAAGATGGCCATGCTGCTCAATTAGGTTTCTAATAGTTACCTTAAGATCTTTTGGTACATTAACTTTGGGTCTCCCGCGCTTAAAGGGAATAGACACAGATGGGTGAGGCTGAGGCTGAGTATTGGCAGAGAGCTGTCGTTGTGGGGGAGTGTTGGCAGAGAGTTGTTGCTGTAGAAGAGTGTTGGCAGATAGCTGGCGCTGAAGAGGGGTGTTGGCAGAGAGTTGTGGCTGTGGGGGAGTGTTGGTACTGCTAGCTAATGAAAGCTGGCGTTGAAGAGGAGCGTTGGCAGAGAGCTGGCGTTGTGGCGGGGTGTTGGAAGAAAGTGGGCTGTGTAGAGGAGCGTTGGTACTGCTAGCTAATGAAAGGTGGCGTTGAAGAGGAGCGTTGGCAGAGAGCTGGCGTTGTGGCGGGGTGTTGGAAGAAAGTGGGCTTTGTAGAGGAGCGTTGGCTATTGAGAGTTGTGGCTGTGGGGGAGTGTTGGTAGTGCTGGCTGATGAAAGCTGGCGTTGTAGAGGAGTGCTGGCAGAGAGCTGGCGTTGAAGAGGAGTGTTGGCAGAGAGTTGTTGCTGTGTCGAGGTGTTGGCAGAGAGCTGGCGTTGTAGAGGAGTGCTGGCTGATGAGGGTTCTTCCTGTATACGAGAGTCGTTTGAACTTTGTAATATCAAATAATCGGTAAGGAGAGTGTCATCTCTGTGTTTCAAAATGGATGAACACTCGTAGAGTCGATTATTATATTTAATGTAGAAAGTAGTAAACTCTTGAAGTTTGTATGTATGATGTAAGTACTCTTCAATAGTAATTAGTCTATTACATAAGAGAGTTTTGTAAAATGTTATCTTGTTAATTGATGAACGAATAGTGTTGTTGACTAATGGAACATTTGTGAGAACAATGGCTAACGGTGTGCGCCTTTGAATCTGTGCTAGAGCTGTTTCAAGCCAAGCTGAATCAACTAAGGTGTACAAATTCATTTTAAACAAATTTGAAATGAAATAATTTGTGAGAATTTGAGAATAATTTAATTATTTGAGAAGTCTATAATGAAAAAATATTCTTAACAAAATTAATTTAAATGGTTCAGAAAATAAAAAATTAAAATTAATGGAAAAAAAACATGATTAGGAATAATTAACAATAATAAATATCATGGTTTTGGATTATTTAAACAGCTATAAAAGAACGAATTTTACAAATTACGATAAAAAATTATTGAAAAATAATGAAGAGGATAAGGATTTGAATCGAAAATTAAAAGGATGATTATGTGTCAAATTAAATTAAAATAAAAATTTTAGAAGATTTAGACAAGAAATAGTGCAAAGAATTAGAATTAACATAAAAATCGAAAATTTAATAAAGGAGAGATAAAATTATTGTAGTATTCAATTGAAAAATTTTATAAATAAGGAATATTGGTAAACAAATAAGTTTCATCTAAAAAAGGAAAATAAAAATATAAAAATTGAAATAAAAACAGAAATATAAAATATTTTTAAAATGCAAAAAAGTTTCATACTAATCGTTTTTGTATAATATTTATCATTGAAAGATTATTGAAAGATATTTTGAAAGAAATCGAAAGAGTTAAGAAATATTGAGAAGAAGGACAATTGAATGAATTTTTGGCCGATTGTGCTATGCAAAGTTGATGATAATTGCAGGAAATTTTGAGATTTTCGAGGTTTTGGAGGGTGTGAGTACTATTATATGTAATAGTATCTTACACCCTCCAATTCATCCTATGGCGTCGAGAAAATTTTGGTGAAATGTCGTCGCATTTCACCAAAATTTCTCGGCGCCATATAGAGAACTAGAGTCTGCGAGGTACTGATTCTATCTATGTACCTCACAGACCCTAGTTCTCAGCCAAAATGGCTAAAATTGCTCGCAATTGTTTGCCATGTAAACGGTCACTTTTTGAAGAGATTTGACATTCTGTCAAATCTCCTTTTTTCCTATATAAGAAGGAAAAAGAGTTTAAATGGCAAAAAATATTTGACACTTAATGTTTACATTTTTATAATGATCGCCAACTCAACTCGTGCTAGGACTCTTGTCAACCAGAAGCCAGAAGTGACTGAAGAAGAGTCCTCTGTGTATGAGACAATCCTCCTGGCCGCGCAGAGCCAGAAGACCGAGATTAGTGATTGTAAGGAAAGGACCGAATGCTACACCTCGAGAGCTTCACCTTACCTTCCAAAAGAGGAATGCATTGAAAGTTCTTGAGGAGTCAAACCTTCATATCGAAGATCTTAAGGTAAAACTCCTAAAAGCCACTCAGGACCTCACTTCAAAGGGTGAGTTTATCACTCTTCTCAAAACGAGGCTTGACCAGAAGAAGAGATCGCTGATCTTCGTTCCGAAAAATACAGGTTTGGAAGGGAGTCTGATATGTGGCATGAAAGGTTCCTCAATGCCAATGCCTCCTACAACGAATTGAAGCGCGGTATCCGAAACCTTGCCTCCGACTTCTGATCCACGCTCAAAACTCAGAATCAACAACTCATTTTATATTATTTCACGTTTTTAACCTCATATAGATAACATAAACACTCAAACAACTCATATATTAAACGCACCGTCCATGATTTTTTGTCAAAAATTCTTATATAGGAAAAAAGGAGATTTGACAGAATGTCAAATCTCTTCAAAAAGTGACCGTTTACATGGCAAACAATTGCGAGCAATTTTAGCCATTTTGGCTGAGAACTAGGGTCTGTGAGGTACATAGATAGAATCAGTACCTCGCAGACTCTAGTTCTCTATATGGCGCCGAGAAATTTTGGTGAAATGCGACGACATTTCACCAAAATTTTCTCGACGCCATAGGATGAATTGGAGGGTGTAAGATACTATTACATATAATAGTACTCACACCCTCCAAAACCTCGAAAATCTCAAAATTTCCTGCAATTATCATCAACTTTGCATAGCACAATCGGCCAAAAATTCATTCAATTGTCCTTCTTCTCAATATTTCTTAACTCTTTCGATTTCTTTCAAAATATCTTTCAATAATCTTTCAATGATAAATATTATACAAAAACGATTAGTATGAAACTTTTTTGCATTTTAAAAATATTTTATATTTCTGTTTTTATTTCAATTTTTATATTTTTATTTTCCTTTTTTAGATGAAACTTATTTGTTTACCAATATTCCTTATTTATAAAATTTTTCAATTGAATACTACAATAATTTTATCTCTCCTTTATTAAATTTTCGATTTTTATGTTAATTCTAATTCTTTGCACTATTTCTTGTCTAAATCTTCTAAAATTTTTATTTTAATTTAATTTGACACATAATCATCCTTTTAATTTTCGATTCAAATCCTTATCCTCTTCATTATTTTTCAATAATTTTTTATCGTAATTTGTAAAATTCGTTCTTTTATAGCTGTTTAAATAATCCAAAACCATGATATTTATTATTGTTAATTATTCATAATCATGTTTTTTCCATTAATTTTAGGGAACAGGACAAATTTGCCACACGGCACTTTTTTAAAAAAATTAATGGAGCGGAGTATATAAGAATTTCCGAAAAGTGACACCCAAAAGTGACACTTTCAATAGGGAGTAACACTTAAAAAGTGACAATTTAAAATTCACAATAAATAAAAATAATAAATTTTTTAGTCTATTAAATTATTCTTTTCTTTGAAATCCTCCAAAAATTCTTCGAAATGTTCTAAAATATAACCTGGAGAATTATAACAAAATTCATTAATTTCTAACATATACGTATCTAACAATTCATTTGGAATTTCAAACGATCTTAAATATGTAATTGAATTTTGTATCTTCTCATTTATTTGAGAAAGCTTTTCTTCAGCATTTTCCAATAAAAATCTTAATGGATTCAAATTGGCTTCTTGATTCTGAACAAAATTTAATACTTGGTATAAACGTGATTGAACTTCTCTTTTCAATTTTGTTTTATAATCTGTCAATCGAGGCTCGCGAATTCTAATTGAAGGAATAAAACCTGTTTGAAGTAAATCGTTTTTAATACGATAAAAGTAATTGGGTGCAACTTCTTCTAAAAGATTTTTGACAAAAACATCAATTCTTTGATTTTTAACGCAGCCAAAATTGTGATATTTTATCTTTTTAAATAAAGATTCAGAAACGTTATTCACAACGGTTAATCCATTTGGTCTGGCAGCGGCTATCCACTGTTGTTTATGAATGTCCCACTGACGTGTAAAGTATTGATTAAATTCCAATTGATCTTGAATTTTATCAATAATGTGCTCTTTATACATTTTTGCAGCATCTTCTTCTGTGCAATCACGATAATAACATAAAATGTTCATAAATTTTTCGACTTCTGATCTAATCTCTTCATCATTTATCTTTGAGAGATTCTTTTTAAGTGCGCGTATTACATGTAGCGCGCACCAAAAGATATTGCACTCCGGAAATGAATTCCTAATCCCGTTGAAAATGTTTAGTGCACAGTCAGACATGATAAATTCAGGTTCTGTGTGAGTTGTTTCAAAATATTTACTTAAGCAAAAAGAAATATTTTCACTATTATCTGGATATATTATAAAATAACACAAAGGGATAGAATGAGTATTAGCAAATTTGGTAGCTAATACATAAAAAGGAAATCCATGAATAATTAATTTAAACGTAGAGTCTAAGTGATAAATTGGTGGTTTTTCATGAATTTGAGAGATCATATCATTATCAGAGTAAATAAAAACCAATTTGTCTGGAAAATCAGTATCTTCACCTTGAATGTCAAAATAAATAAGGTCATCATGTTGATCTTCCCATTGATTAACATAGTTTTGTAAAGATTGAAATTGATTTAAAGATATGTCTGGTAAAGATCTCATAAGATCTTTTTGTTGTAAATAATATTTCAATTGATTGATTGCAGTTTGTTTCATAGTCATGTGAATACAAGTATGATCTTTAGGTATTTCAAGCGTTTTGTTGACTTCTTGTGTTGCATTAAGTGGACTTCCGTGATTCATGAGAAATTTTTTAATCCAAGCACGGTAAGTACCACTTGTAGGTGTATTTTTATGTTGTGGTGGTGGTCCTGAGTGAATATGAGTTAAGTTTGCAGATTTAAAAATGTAATTGTCGAAATTTTTAATAAATTTAAAGCCTGCTGGGCAGCCTTCGTATTCGCATCGGTGGTAGATTAATACTCCTGTTCCAATTGATAGTTTTTGTGGGTCTTTGACAAATCTTATGTTACCATGCAGCTCTGCAGCTATAACAAAACGAGAATATTCTAAATATCCTATGGCTTGATCAACCTCGCATGGAGGATCGGGTGGAGGATGTTGCATTGAGCAGCAAAAAGGAAAAATAAAATTGAAAACTCACATTGAAAAAATAACGGTTTAATAGAAAATATTTTTTTTCTTCTGAAAAAGAATTATCTTTGAGTATCTAAATTGGGATAAAGGATATAGAATAGATAACTAGTACTTAATATATGATACATGTACACGAAATGGAAGAATGTGTACTAAAAGAAAGAGAAATTTTAGCTTAATATTTTACATACGAATCAATTATCTTTGGTTAAAAGGTAGAATTGTTGGCTATGATGTACTGATTCATGATCAGTACATCATAGCCAACAATTCCTTATACAAAATTCAAAAACTTGGGTGCAATCAGTTCTGATTGCACCCAAGTTTTTGAACTTTCTTGAGGGAATGGAAGAGTAAGAGATATACATTATGAATATATACCTCTTACCCTTCCATTCCCTCTCTGACAGCGGAAAACTTTGTCTGAATGTTAAACTATTCAGACAAAGTTTCCCGCTGTCAGCGAAAGAATTGTTCCATCTGGTGCATAGAGTGTGAATCTATGCACCAAATGGAGCAAGTCCCTCGCGAAATTGCCAAAACTTGCGTCGCATTTCAAAGATTGCGACCCAAATTTTGGCGATTTCTAGTAGAGATGGAGTATTTTGAGTCACTGACCTATATGCAGTGGCTCAAAGGGCTCCATCTCTACTTTGAAGCAAGGAAACTTTCCTCGAAATTTTGATAATTTGAAGAAAGTTTTCAAGCAATTAACAAAGGATTACTCGCTATGAGGTAAAAATTCTAGATTTTCACCTCATAGCGAGAGCTTCCCTTTCATTGCTTGAAAACTTTCCCCAGCTTCAAAATTGGGGAAAGGGCTGTAAAGTCGACTCCGATACCAGCAGGTACCAGAGTATTTAAAAGAGAAGCCCTCGTACGAGTTTCTATGAAGACCTTCTCATTCAAGAAGATCTTAATAGAAAATCGTACGAGGGCATTGGAAACTCGCGTCTAGTACATGTTGGTACCAGAGTGTTTGAGATTTGAAGACTCTGGTACTAACATGTACCAGAATTTATGATGAATTTAAGATGGAACATTATAAAATGGTAGCGGTTTGTTTCAAAAAATTTTAGATGAGATTTGCATAGATATAGATTATATGATTTATACATATGAAAAATAATATATAAAAATATAATTTTGAGATAATTATGTAAATAATATTTTAAATATTTGAATTTGAGGTATAATTTTATAGTAAAATATATTATAAAGAGTATTTATATAAATATTGTAAAATAATATAAGTAATAAAAATTGAGACCCCCTCCCTGTTTTTGATGTTTTGTCACTTTTTCGGTAATTCTTATTGTTTCATAATCATGTTTTTTCCATTAATTTTAGGGAACAGGACAAATTTGCCACACGGCACTTTTTTAAAAAAAATTAATGGAGCGGAGCGATACGCTGCTGCAGGAGCCCCAAGGCTCCCAATCATTACGAAAGGGAGCCTCAGGGCTCCTGAGAATCCATCAGCAGAGGCCTTTTCATTTGGCCTCTGCTGATCAAAGATTCGGCGAAGCCATTCTTCGTCTCAGGAGCCCCAAGGCTCCCAATCATTACGAAAGGGAGCCTCAGGGCTCCTGAGAAACCTCTTTGAGAAGGTTTTCTTAAAGAAAACCTTCTCAAAGATGATTGTCAGCATTCACTCAAAATCTACCAAGAGTTTCAAAGTTTCAAATCTATCTGAAATGAAGCTTTGAATCTCTTGTATATCTAATTGTAGAGGTACCTTTTCAAAATGTCTTCTATTGATTAAATTTAATCAGTAAAAGTCATTTTGAAAAGGTACATCTCTATAATTGCTATTGAGCATTCACTCTTGGAACCTTGGAGCTCTTGTGTAGTGCATGAAAACTCCAAGATTCTAGCA